TGAGTCACAGAGAGATAAGTAAGGAGTTCCGGGGATCTAATTTGGCCCGCATTCTTCACAGAGAGACAAGCATTGGGGTACCGGGGACCTATGCAGGCCTGCAATCGTCTGAGTCAAGCATTGGGGTACCGGGGATCTATTCTGGCCTGTAATCGTCTCAGAGACAAGCATTGGGGTATCGGGGATCTATTCTGGCCTGCAATCGTCTCAGAGACAAGCATTGGGGTACCGGGGACCTATTCTGGCCTGCAATCGTCTCAGAGACAAGCATTGGGGTACCGGGGACCTATTCGGGCCTGCAATCGTCTGAGACAAGCATTGGGGTACCGGGGACCTATTCTGGCCTGCAATCGTCTCAGAGACAAGCATTGGGGTACCGGGGACCTATTCTGGCCTGCAATCGTCTGAGACAAGCATTGGGGTACCGGGGACCTATTCTGGCCTGCAATCGTCTGAGACAAGCATTGGGGTACCGGGGACCTATTCTGGCCTGCAATTGTCACAGAGACAAGCATTGGGGTACCGGGGACCTATTCTGGCCTGCAATCGTCTGAGACAAGCATTGGGGTACCGGGGACCTATTCTGGCCTGCAATCGTCTGAGACAAGCATTGGGGTACCGGGGACCTATTCTGTCCTGCAACCGTCTCACAGACAAGCATTGGGGTACCGGGGACCTATTCTGGCCTGCAATCGTCACAGAGACAAGCATTGGGGTACCGGGGACCTATTCTGGCCTGCAATCGTCTGAGACAAGCATTGGGGTACCGGGGACCTATTCTGGCCTGCAATTGTCACAGAGACAAGCATTGGGGTACCGGGGACCTATTCTGGCCTGCAATCGTCTGAGACAAGCATTGGGGTACCGGGGACCTATTCTGGCCTGCAATCGTCTGAGACAAGCATTGGGGTACCGGGGACCTATTCTGTCCTGCAACCGTCTCACAGACAAGCATTGGGGTACCGGGGACCTATTCTGGCCTGCAATCGTCACAGAGACAAGCATTGGGGTACCGGGGACCTATTCTGGCCTGCAATCGTCACAGAGACAAGCATTGGGGTACCGGGGACCTATTCTGGCCTGCAATCGTCACAGAGACAAGCATTGGGGTACCGGGGACCTATTCTGGCCTGCAATCGTCTGAGACAAGCATTGGGGTACCGGGGACCTATTCTGGCCTGCAATTGTCACAGAGACAAGCATTGGGGTAACGGGGACCTATTCTGGCCTGCAATCGTCTGAGACAAGCATTGGGGTACCGGGGACCTATTCTGGCCTGCAATCGTCACAGAGACAAGCATTGGGGTACCGGGGACCTATTCTGGCCTGCAATCGTCACAGAGACAAGCATTGGGGTACCGGGGACCTATTCTGGCCTGCAATCGTCACAGATACAAGCATTGGGGTACCGGGGACCTATTCTGGCCTGCAATCGTCACAGAGACAAGCATTGGGGTACTGGGGACCTATTCTGGCCTGCAATCGTCACAGATACAAGCATTGGGGTACCGGGGACCTATTCTGGCCTGCAATCGTCACAGAGACAAGCATTGGGGTATCGGGGACCTATTCTGTCCTGCAACCGTCTCACAGACAAGCATTGGGGTACCGGGGACCTATTCTGGCCTGCAATCGTCACAGAGACAAGCATTGGGGTACCGGGGACCTATTCTGGCCTGCAATCGTCACAGAGACAAGCATTGGGGTACTGGGGACCTATTCTGGCCTGCAATCGTCACAGAGACAAGCATTGGGGTACCGGGGACCTATTCTGGCCTGCAATCGTCACAGAGACAAGCATTGGGGTATCGGGGACCTATTCTGGCCTGCAATCGTCTCACAGACAAGCATTGGGGTACCGGGGACCTATTCTGGCCTGCAATCGTCACAGAGACAAGCATTGGGGTATCGGGGACCTATTCTGGCCTGCAATCGTCTCAGAGACAAGCATTGGGGTACCGGGGATCTATTCGGGCCTGCAATCGTCTCAGAGACAAGCAATGGGGTACCGGGGATCTATTCGGGCCTGCAATCGTCACAGAGACAAGCATTGGGGTACCGGGGACCTATTCTGGCCCGGATTCCACACAGGGAGACAAGCATGGGGTGCCGGGGACCTTTCGTGTCCCGAAATCTAGATGTGGAAACAAAGGACTAGAGTATACTGTTCAGTATAGGGGTGTCTTTAACATAATGTATTTGAAGCCCTAGGAGAGCCATGAGGTCATGACGGGAGAGCCCCTACTCCGCTACAAGTTATATATTGCCTTTACATGCACTGTGCAACACGATAAATATGTACATGTTTCAACGTGCCCATAATCAAACCCTACAAATAGCCTAACTTCCTGAAGTATTACACATGTCACGAGTACTATAAGCCCTTCCAGAAACATCACTCAGTATTCCTGCAAAGCTGTACAACAGGAAGCTCACATTGCCTATACCCCTAGCCTACTGGCGTATATTCGCTGTTTATAAACCTCTACCGATGTCACTCTGTGATAAGTTCGTCTTTTCTCGGGTAAACCCGTAAAGGAGTTATTCTCTCAGAATGCCCGGGTAAACGGTCATTCCAGCTAAAGTATACCCGAGTAAGCGGGCATTCCGTGAAATTTAACGTTTTATAAACTTGCCTCTTGTTGAGGACACAATTGTGTTTGATGATTGGTTAAAAGTCAGAAATTTGTTTTGAACATGAAAATTCCATGACGTGAATCGAACCTGCAACCTTACATATCGTGATCAGTTTTGTAACCCCCTGTTACAGGTGATGAGAATGTGTTCAGATTATCCTGTCATGACTCCATCTAGTCCAGGCTGCACGTGATTTTTCTCTTTGAGCGAATTCCTTTTATACCGTGATACACTGTATTGTTTCACTATAAACTATGTCAATGTTTTCTTTATTTTCCTGCTATTTCTTGTATTTAGACGGTTCATAGGTCGACCCTCCCCTATTTCCCTACTCCCCGGGCGTACAATCTCCGTCAAGACCTCGTGGGGAGTTTATATCCAAAACATATGGACCTCACGTTATCACCGTTATCAGGATATCGTTTTTTATATACCGCAAAGTATTCAAAGAAGTTACTGTGTGGGAAACGCGCTCCTTCAAGCGGGATTACCATGCTGCACACATAACCCAACTGAGGAGACAATTTATTATCACGTAAAGATTACCCAAAATATTGAAACAGTTCTCTTGTCTTGACATGACGATAGGAATATTTGTTTTTGTTTGTTGTTTAACGGCGGCCTGTAAATAATCGAGTCAGGACCAGACAATCATGATGACATCATCAGCATCGATCCACGCTACTGGGATACTGGGATGACATGCATCAACCAAGTCAGCGAGCCTGACCACCCGATCCCGTCAGTCGCCTCTTACGGCAAGCATAGTCACCGCTTAATCGTTAGGCTCCAACCACTTACGTCATGCCCAACAATACAAGAGTAGCAGGATATATTATATACACTGATGGAATAAAATAAAGGATCGCATAAATGATGCAGACATAAGATTTTTAAACAACACTTGATCAAATGAAAGCTACATGGTAAATAATGACTTAATCTCAGTTCTTCAGTATGACCTGTGACCACCACGAGCTCTCACAACAGCCTGACAACGTCTTGGCATACTCCGAATTAAGGCCCGGATTGTAGCCCTTGGAACATTATGCCACTCTTGTCTTAAACAGTCAAACATCACGTCCAGATTACGAGGTTGATTAATGCGATCTCGCACCCAACGACCAAGAACGTCCCATAAATGTTCTATCGGGTTAACGTCTGGACTTTTATCCGGCCATGGAAGCACAGCGACCTGGTTCTGCCTAAAAAAATCGGCTGAAACACGAGCAGTATGTGGCCTTGCATTGTCCTGCTGAAACTCGAACAACCGCCCAACTCTGTTAGCGAACGGAAGCACCACTGGGCGTAACACTTCGTCACAGTAACGAACACCAGTTAGACGACCATCCACACGAATCAAATCTGTTCGGTTGTCGTAGGTGATTCCACCCCAGACCATCACTGATCCACCTCCGTATCTGTCATGCTGTTTGACAGTGCATGCTTGGCATCGTTCATTAAGTCGTCTCCAAACACGTATCCGACCATCTGCATTGTCCATATTGAAACGAGACTCATCGCTGAACATGGTGTATCGTCAACGACGCAGCTGTCTGGCTCAATGCTGCCTTGCCCACTGTAACCTTCGCCGTTTGTGTTCTTGAGTCATCTTGATTCCTACCACGGGACGGCGACTTTGTAGACCCGCTGAACGCAGCCTGTTACGTACTGTGCGATCCCTTAACCGTAGATGTGTGACAGCTCTGAACTCGGCATTCACTTTTGGAGCAGGTTTAAAGCGATCCCTCAAACAAATCAGCTGAATCTGACGATCTTGACGAGCTGTATTTTTCTTTGGTCGCCCACGCCCACGTCTCATGACAACATCGCCGGTCTGCCTGTAGAGGTTCCACAGTCGTGAGTGGACACTGATGGACTTCTGAAAGTGTCTTGCAACATCTCGCAGTGACTGGCCTGACCTCACCATCCCGATTGCCTGCCACTTCTCCTTCAAACACATGTACTGTCTTGGCATGTTTCACGCAGTTGATGTCAATATGATCGGTCTTACAGTAGAAGACTTTATACCCCACTGTGCCATGAAAAACTACTGAAACACGTGCACAACATGTCTTCCCACAGGTGATGGCCTGCGTTTTGGAGATGTTGACCATGTACTTCCGAAAAACGGCCACAAAAAAATAACAACATTCGGACTCATTGACCAAACACTTTATGCGATCCCTTATTTGTTTCCATCAGTATATAATACACTATGAAACGAAACAATCGAACAGGAAGTACCTATCGCCTAATCAGCACCGAGTAATTCTTCCACGATCTCAATCGTCACGCAACAATAATGTAGACAGTTTTGCATTCACGTGACCTGATAGCGTTATGTTTTTTCTGTGTTTCAGGTCCCCTTGAGTTTGACGTGATATGTGTGAACAGCTATCAGGCCAGGTAAGGAGGACATTCGTCTAATGAGGAAAGGCCTATACCCTGTGTGTTCATCAGATCTACTTCGCCGCTGATAAACTTCTACGGATATGTTTACATCTGATCAACGTGGCGGTTTACCTGAAGCCATATGGTACAGGTGGACCAGGTGTAAAGGAATCGTCCGCGACCTTTGACTGATAAAGCTGTGTTGATATGCTGTGTAAATATGCTGTGAATGGATGCCTACTTGTGGAATCATATGGCGGTTCTAGGCGATGTATTTGTGAGTTTTATTTGGAATATGTCTGTATTTTGAAAACTTGGCGTCATACATTCATACTGCTATGATGACTGATATTTCTTACACTTCAAATCATGCAGTACCTGTGCTAAACACCTCGCTCGGGCCCGATACTAATGGTACAGCATTCTTTGACGTCTGCAGGGTCAGCAACGTCAATTCCACCAACGATGCCCAACCGGACACCCTCGACGAAGTCATAGTTTTTGTCAATTTGTATATCCCCCCGATACTCATCATATTCGGGAATGTTTTCAACGTGCTCGCCATCATGGTCATGCGCCACAAGTACTTCCGGAATCTGTCCACTTCCGTTTACATGATGGCTGGAGCGGTCAACGATGCTTCAAGTCTTCTGATCTCCTTGATCGCTCATTGGGTGTCAGTAAATTTCCCAGAAGCCATTGCGAGAAACAAGGCTATGGATGTTATGTGCAAGTTCTTCAACTTTTATGGTTGGGGAAACTGTGACTTCAGCATTATGGTGACAGCCGCCATGACGGCTGATCGAGCGTACGCAATAAAATATCCTTTAAAAAATTCTTCAGCAAACAGTATCAAGCGGGCTAAGATTGTCATAGCAGTGCTAGCAGTTGTTGTAGTGCTAAAGGAGTTCCATTTCTGGTTTACGTCCGTCATCGTGCCGGCGGACAGGAAAGACAGAATGTGTGACGTCGATCTATCCTCTCTGTCGTACTGTCATTTCTATCACCAGGTCTGGCCGTGGATCCATATAGCATTCCTGTCCTTGTGTTTCCTCGTCATCATCTTCAGCAACTGCATCATAATAAAAAGTGTCAAAAACGCCGGTGGGAAAAGTTTCCGAAAAACTATGAAAAACAACAATTCGGAAGTTTCGGCTAGAAGAAATACAAAGTCCCGGTTAAAATGGCGGCAAATAACGGCCATGTTGTTGGCCGATTCGTTTGCTTTGTTACTTTTGACGTTTCCATTCTCGGTGCATCTTGCCGTGACCTTGAAAATGAAAGCCGAAGGTCCGGAGGTACAAAAAATCAATGGATACGTGTTTTCTATGGTTCTATATCTTCTGTATTCCAACAAGTGTGTGAACTTCTGCCTTTACTGCATGACGGGATCGCGATTCAGAATGGCGCTTCGCGAGGTCATCGCGTGCAAGAGGTTACGTTGCCAAGGGGGAAAACTCTTTACCGTTCTCACAAAATCCCAATATCAGGGGAGCACCTTCACTGGGAATAATACAAGCACGCCTAACTCATCGTCGCCTGGCAGCTCTCTGAAGAGAGAACATGAGGAATGTGAAGAGACGGACAAATTCTAAACCAGTTTCAAATAGGTGTCTGGTCTTGAATTAATTCTCGTAAGTCTTTGACTGGAATCAGTCTTAGTTTTCTCAGAAAAATTAAATCAAACAAACCTGAAATATTTTTTTATTAGTGCTGTGTTCCGATTGCAGTAAAATAACCTTTTTATAGATTAATATTGTGACATTTATTATGGTTTGTTACACATGGCCATATACCCACAACGCCTTTGTCAGACAGACGGACATGTTTATTCAGTATTTCGGCCTTGTGGCCCAGAGTATAATTCATTGAACAGAATAAAACATTATAGACATTTGCTAAGTTAAAAACTCTTTGAAATATACCGTTCTCTCCAAAGAGTGACGTGACTGCAAATGTACTGACAGAAGGCTAAACTGTCGTCATTTAGATGGTAAATCATCATGTAGCCGTGTTGAACCATTGTGCGGGAGGAATATTGCTGGGTATGTCTTAGAAAATAACGATGCCACGTTGTTTCAGTTGGCCTTCTTGGAATTGAGTCAATATGATACATTTTCTTGTTTGCAGTGTCATTTGTCACCACTCGCCCCTTTCCGTAACGTGCCGTTTGATTTGTATGGAATGGCACGGGTGGTCACGAATGTAAGTGGTATACAAATTGCCCGCACAAAATGCACAACAGGTAAATGTTAATTCCTTTAGAAAGATTGAAGGATTTTAGAGGCGCAGCTTCTGATAATACTCCCGGTAATAATTCTCCACAGAACAGCTTCAGTGATCATTCATCTCAATCAATCTCGGAAGGACATGGCGGAATCCATATTGGAACTACTTTCCTTCACGTGACTATCACGTGACACAACACAACCTTCGGACAGGTCCGGTCCTTGTCTTCATGTTTAGAGTGTTTCTGTTCGCTTTTTGCTCCATATCTAACTATATACCTACAAAACTTACAAACAGATGTTTCTCAAACCGTCTGACATGTTATATGAAATAATAAGCGTTGGTTGTTCAACGCCGCACACACCAATATTCCAGCTATATGACGGCGGTCTGTAAATAATCGAGTATGGACCAGACAATCCAATGATTAAAATCATGAGCATCGATCCACGCATCTAGTATCGATGACATGCATCAACCAAGTCAGCGAGCCTAACCACCCGATCCTCTTAGTCGCCTTTTACGCCAAGCATAGTCGCCTTTAACGCCAAGCATGGGTTAATGAAGACCTATTCTACCCCGGATCTTCCCGGGTCGAATAATAAGCGACAAGATATGACAGTTCACAGGCAACGGTCAGCTGACGTCATTTCACTAGGCTAGTTTTGTCAGAGGTGGTGTAAAGGGAAGTAAACCGACCCGAGTGTTTCAGTGATGCAATATACTGAGGAATTATAGCTGAAACTACTGTATAATGCATGCATACATAACTTCTATATGGATAGTTTCTTGAATATTCAAATAATTACCTTAAGAAGTCAAGACGCTAGCATTAATATCCAAGAAGGTATGTTGAATATCAAATAATAATCTTTTATATCTAATTGAATTTCAAGATGCAAATTTAAAGAACCAAAGGGAATTTAAAAATAGTCGGTTAAGTTTAAAGGAAAATCACCGAGGCCACAAAACGTTTCTTTTATTCTATTTTTTCAAGAAATAGTTCACACTGGCCCATGGCATCTCATATAGGCAACAATACTTCTATGACCCTAATTCGTTTCCGTACTTTCCGCTCAAAACATTCCTGAACATCTGTTTCGGCTGATAATTGAGACTGATTGGTCTCTGATGTTTGTGTGTTATATTATATGGATGCATTCATATTGTCAGACATTGTTTATGCTGGAATGTACTTGTGGTGTGTCATCGTTAAAATGGTCTCAAGTGTGATCGTATGGTCATAAAACACCTACTAAGGTCATGTCTCACGTGAGACGTGGTTAGGGTTCTTTTTGTAAATTGGTTTATATTGTTGTGGCAAATTGTTACATCTGTTTTTCTGTTGTTGTTTTTTCTATTTTGTGAGTACAAAAAAATAAAATATTCGGTATAGTTCAGATTCGTGTTTTTATTTTGCATTATTTAGATTGCATGATTACAATGGTGCAATAACATCGATAATTATATTTCAGCAAAACCACGACAAGTTACACCCATAATGGGCCTCGTATAATTTACGAAGGCGGGCAAAACGACACTTTTTCACGTTCATACTTAATCAGGAAACTGTGTTATTAAAATGACGTAAACACATGTGTGTGATCTAACATGCCTTTCACTGATGAGGAAGTCCTTATGAGTTTGCACAATTAAAAAAAATAATAAATCTAAAAGGCCGAAAAGCTATTGAAAGTGAGGTTATGAAATCAACATTAAACTGCACCTGTTTTTAAAAAAATGTTAATCAGAATCCTTCACACGGCAGTTTTTCTCCAGAGGAGAGGGGGGAGAGCATAAACTGTCACATATTCAAGGAGACTGCCTCCGTGGTCTTGTAGTAGAGCGTCCGCCCGGAGATCTGTTGGCGTAAACTAGGGGAGATAACTCTTGCAACCATAGTGAGCCGGGCTGTACATGCATTACTGTCGCAGCAGGTATTTTACCTCCCAGTGCGATAAGTCTCCATGAGAGGTTGCCCAGTCTAATCACTCTCTTGTCCAGAGCTGCTTTGGGTCAACCCAGTAACTCTACCACAGACAAGCGAGATGGGACTATTCGTCACACCTTGCCAAGTCCATTCAACACATTACCAGAGATTTCCATCACGTGACCTTGATTCGTGGATATAAGCAGAGACCATATAATAGATATCTATAATATGGTCTCTGGTATAAGGAAAGTTCACCCAAATTCGTGGTTTAAATGTCCGATTTCATTTTGTATACTCACTTATCATTTAATTCATCTATTCAACTCTAAGAAAATGACGAGCATTCCACTCGTGACTGTAAAGTTTGTTTACAGAAGCCATATGCATTCAACATCCATTCATTTGCACACAAAGTGTGACGTCACCTTGATTCGTGGATTACGTAGTAGATTATTGTATCGCTATATACGATAGACCAGTACCGTTACCGTTGTAAAATGTGTCATGAGCACGCGCACTGGACAACAAACAATACTGTAAGTGCACCCAGTGGGTACAGTCATGATACATGCACTGCCTCCATCGTACGAAAAACAGTGATGTGCATTGGGCCAGTTCAGCGGGCTGAAAGTGATGACGCACGCAAAATGTTTCGTCATCGGATATCAGCGAATCGTCACTGTCACTGCTGTATAGTAGATTAATCGTCACTGTCACTGCTGTATAGTAGATTAATCGCACTGTAAACGGACCGAAACATCCCACGTCCATTGGCTGCAAAATATGACTTGTGTGAGCCGGGAGGACAAACAACACAATAGTGTGATCTTTTGCCCAGTCTATCAGAGACGGAGAAATGTGCGACTTGTGGCCATCGTACAGAAGAAGCAAAGGTCTATTCGGCGTTGCTGGAGATGCATATCGAAGGAAATGCCTGTCCAAGTAATCTTGGAATATAACACCATTTGACCATCCCGATTCAGAAACAGTTCCGTCACTTCCCGCTGTACAGCCTTCAAGCAATTCACTGCGCATTCCAGCACCCGCAAATACAAAGAAAGGTGGAATAATGCCCCGAGCGATTCCCCTTCCCAAAAGTGTGACGACCGACAATCTCGTAGGCCATGGATTTTCCTGAGCCAACATTTTTGGGTGCGACATGGGACTGGTTGATTCCTTTGTCATCTACGTTATAAATTCCTTTCGGTCTTGATTGTAAACCGTATTTATTCATAACCATGGCAGCTTCATCAAAATACTTGTTGATACATTCCTCTGAACTAGCTTCGGCACGGTGTTCCGTGAGAGACTTGGCATTTCTAACTTTCAACTCCGGTCATCGCTCAAACAGACCACATCATCACTTCACAGACAGGCAAAGTTTGACCCTAATTGGATAAAACACGTCCCATTTTAATTCTGGAAACCCAAAAGTCCAGAAACTCTACGGTCTTTGCCCAGTCTCGGTTAAAGGTATTTACAAAAATAAAGATGATGTTTTCATGGGAACAAACCAAGGAAGAAAAAATGAAAAAATTATTGTTAAAAAACTCAATATTTAGACTATGTCGCCCATGGGCCTGCCCATGGGCGAAGTCTGGCCCATGGGTAGGCCCATGGGCAGGCCAATGGGCGAGAATATGTTCCTTTACTCAAAACTCATGTCTTTGTTACGCAAATACATTAATTGTATTCATTCAAGTATCATGACACAAAATTTAACTCATTTTAACTTAATTCAACGATTTTATAGCGATATTGAAATATTTCGCCCATGGGCGAGAAAAAGGTTTGGCCCATGGGCGAGAAAAAGGTTTGGCCCATGGGCAGGCCCATGGACGAGAATCTGTTCCTTTACTTAAAACTCATGTTTTTGTTTCGCAAATACATTAAATCATAGTATCATAGTATCATGACACAAAATTTAACTCATTTTAACTTAATTCAACGATTTTATAGCGATATTGAAATATTTCGCCCATGGGCGAGAAAAAGGTTTGGCCCATGGACGAAAATATGTTCCTTTACTCAAAACTCATGTTTTTGTTTCGCAAATACATTAAATGTATTTATTCAAGTATCATGATACAAAATTTAACTCATTTTAACTTAATTCAACTATTTTAAAGCGATATTGAAATATTTCGCCCATGGGCGAGAAAAGGGTTTTGCCCATGGGCGAGAATATTTTCCTTTACTCAAAGCAGGTGTTCTTACCATTTTCATGGCACATAATGTAACTCAATTTTACTTAATTCAGCTATTTAATAGAGTTATTGAAATATTTCGCCCATGGGCGAGAAAAGGTTTTGCCCAGGGGCAGGTCCATGGGCGAGAATATTTCCCTTTGCTCAAAACTTGTGTTTTAGTGTCGCATATACATAAAGGTGTAATAAGAAGTTTCATGTCACATAATTTAACAAATTTTAACTTAATTCAACTATTTTACGGCGTTATTGAAATATTTCGCTCTGGACGAGAAAGTTTGGCCCATGGGCGGGAATATTTTCCTTTGCTCAACAGTTTCAGTTTCGCAAATACATAAAGGTGTGTCTACAAGCATGATACATGTTTCAACTATTTTACGGCGTTATTAAAATATTTCGCCCATGTTTTCGTCAGTCCCTTTAAAGCATCAACTAAATGTGTGCAAAGTATATTGTATCATGTGAAATATACTTTATATTATATCATTACATTACTATTTAAAAAGAGCATTTGGTTGGATGTTTCCTTTAAAGAAGTTCTACAAATTTCACCTGTTTTACATATTGTAGCGATCTTTAATGAACCCGGACTTACCTCTCAAAACGTTTTGACAGTTTATCATACGAATTCATGTGCGTGTACTCCAATTCATTGGAGTTATTTTCCACAACATTAAATTTTAGTTAGTTTCTACTTCATTTCCCATTTTATGTCCCGTTGATACATCACACTGTGCAATTACGTGGCACTAGGTATGCAATATACAGGTACGCGTGCGCGTATTTTTATGAAAAAAACTATTCGTCTTATATTGCATAACGTTTGGCTGAATATCTTACATTCTAACGAAATCTAGAAATAATTATTTAATTACATGCGGTGTCGAACTGACCAGTGGGAATTATGTTTCAATGCGATTGAGGAAAACGTGAGTGAATATTGTGACACTTAAGCAACTTTTAACTGCATTGTCACTTTTGGTATGAAAATGGTAACAGTTCAGAAAAAACAACAGCCTTCTTATGATAATTCTCATTAGTACGTTGTATCTAATTACAGTGTCGGCCTTATTTACAGGTGATTCTACAATACCTGCTCTCGGTCAATTACGATCTACCACACCACGCGTGAATAAACAGTTATGCAGGTGTTGCTGTGGGCAAATACCTAGCCTGAAAATGTTTATTTTTTTGTGGATACATGTTTTACAAATGTTCGTTGATATGTGGATACATTAAGCACAAAGACAAAAAAAATGTTTATGAAAGATTAATTAGTGCCTTGATATATTCATCGAGATGTGTATCATCGTTTAATGGGGTCATTCAATAAACGTATGTTTGGGGAAGATATCAAAGGAACCGCCCAATATACACAGTGTCGTCCGGTGAACTACCACCCCACCCTGTCGATAAGAGTTATGTAATCGGTACACAGATATATTTGATGCGGTGTCAGTGCGGAAGGAGTTTGAATTACATCCGCCACTGGCCACAGAAATCCTCAAAGTATAGTAACAATCAACAAGGTCAATGCCGTACTAATTACTTAGGGACGCACGTAACAACGACTCTCAATAGGAAAAATGGTGAAAACAAATTGAAATAGATTTTAATAAAACATTGTTGTACTAAATAACTTGCAAAAGCGGTGCCCAAAATTGTTTGACCGTGTTATGTGTGTTGTAAACTGACGAATAGCAAGTGATTGTCATGCTGTACGCATGGTTCCATATACAAATTCAGTTATACAACCGGTATGAAACTGAGAACTGAGATGCCAAGTACAACCTGCATTCACACACGGAAGCAATATACTTGTGTATATGCCCTCTCCTCTGAAAAATGTATCACTCAAGTATTTGCATTGTAATAAATATAGTAATGATAAAACTTGGTAATTTGGTAGGTCTCAGACAGATATGATTTTCAGTTTTTTTACACCTTTGATTGATACGGATTACGTACCTGTAGACTAGTCACTGTCTCTAATGTATTTGCTTGTTAGAAATTTCAAATGTCCTGTTAAAGCACTGTTCCTAAAATAAGGCAGTTTCTTTTATCGGGTATAAATAGTTGATTCGTCTTGTCAGGCAGTCATTTTTACTTGATCGAATGATTTCCACAAAAACTTACGGCAGAGAGTTTTGCATTTTAGTATATACATGTATTGTTAATTGTAGAAGATGCTTACATCACTGTATCTCAGAACGTAAAACTGATAACATTCAAACATGTAATTAGTACAC